GGGTTGTTTTCAGCTAGATTAGCTGCTTGGATTACTAGATTTCTTGCTATTTCCAGCGCCTCTTGTACTGAAGTTGCTTTTGGAGTTCTATTGACTCTTGGACTAAGATGGCCCTGTACCGTATTATGTTGTTAACCTGTCGAACGAGGAGAAGTTAACCAATTCCCCCCCTCCCCCCTTCCTGGTGAGATTACCGATATCATATTAATTGCTATCAACAACATATCAGTGGCATACGCAGTTCTAGACGGCCTTGAGGAATATCTCTTCCTAGTGAAACCGGCAAAGCTAATGTCAAAGCTATCAGAGACCGGCTTGAAAGTCTCCGCTTCCTCACGCGACCTATCCATATTCGCAAGCATTTCGATAAGTGGTCGCATGTTGACATCCTAGTTACAAGAAGAAAGCGAAGTCAACTACGATCTCATGCTGCAGTCCTTCGAATCCGACCTGACCTCTCCAGTGATTGATCACATCGACGGGTGTTTCCTGGTAGCACGGCTGAACATTTACCACGTAATTAGCCTTGCTACCATTAAAAAGATTCGCCAAGCTCTCGAGTCGCCGCCCGCTGATTACAAAGAGTCATGTGGAAGAACGATAGAGCGTATCGCCAAACAAAACACTGGCCGCAAATCGCTGACCGCAAAACGCTGGCAGCCAAGGTCATGGTGTGGATCTGCTATGCCAAACGGCCCCTGAAACTCCAGGAATTGCTACAGGCACTGTCCACAAAGAATAAGGAGGAGGAGATTGATAGGCCGCTTCTATCCTGCTGCCTTAGTTTGGTCGCTCTGTCTATACCGATCGCATTCCAGGCATGGTGCATGGAACCGCCATGAATTTCGTACTGGCAACGGATATCGTTAATTAGTTCAAGTCAACCCTGTGGATAACGCGGATTCATCTACCATATTTATTTATCAAGCCAATACGCGAAAGTTCTGGCTAAAAAAAAATTCGGTGACTTACAGCACAGGCTCCAACACTTCCCTTCCTCGATTACGCTACGCATTTCATCAACTACCACGCCAGGGCGGTAGAAAAGCAAAGCTGTGCGAAACTTAGGAACTTCCTCCAAGATAATCCTCTGCGAGGAGCCTCGTGGCAGGTCTTACATATCACATCGCATGGAGAGCTGTACGTTACAACCTATGTGTTCCGTGACATACCCCGTTCCGAGTTACCATTGAATGTGGCTCCCTACTAGGGTTTCTCGGAGCTAGCTCATGACCTGCTGAAAGCCAATCCCTAGGCGCTCTTTGATATTAATGCTCCCGACTCCCATGTTTGGACACCGATCTAAGAAGCAGGGTTCATAGGCCACCACGTAATTGTTCACGCCTTACTCTAAGCCGGCGCATCAGTGAGTGCTCCTGACGCCTCACATTCGACTCCCCTCCTTTGGGCAGTATTCAAAGGCCTTGAACGAGCCATATCCACGCTCCCGGACCACGGTGTAGACTCCTATCGAGCGGACCGCAACGACTGAACAGCACTGCATTAGGCCATCTTGGCCCATTACGAAAACTGTATCGACCTCTTATTTCACCACATAAATCAGAATTCCCAGCCTCAAAATCTGTCTTCGATGAGCAGCACCAAGAACATCTCCGTCAAAGCCCTCACTGTGTCCCAAGCAAAATCAACCATGGCCTCCCTTCACAAAGAAACAAGCTCCCTCAGTCACACGGCAAAGGTGGAAGATTTGTTCACCTTTAGTTCTCTACTAGGCGACGCTGAGGCCTTCCACCTGGACGAAATCCGTGACGCATACGACGCCGACCTCGCCGGTACAGGTACTATCTGGGCCGAAGAGCCGCCGGTCCGTGACCTCTGGCGCGCCATGTTGAAAGCCAACTTCGGCTTCTAGGGTGTCGAGCGCTGCAAGTCGCCGTTAAAATCGTTTCGGAAGCGGATGCTGCACAATGCTATCGAGGAAGGGAATTACGCAATGGCAGAGACGCTGCTGCGTCTCAGTCGGGATCTGAGGCTAGATTCGAGTCGGGACAGCATAGCCTCTGGGGGTCTCACATATCTACAGTTCGCCCTTTGTAATGGTCAAGGTCGCATATTAGATGCACCGCTCGCAGCGGGCCTGTATATCATTGCTGCGGATGAAAGGGATATGACGCCTCTGCACATGACGTGCATGGGAAGCGACAGAATGATGATTAAGCGTCCAATAGATTGTAAATTGGTTGATGCCAATGCGTTGGATAAGAAGGGTAGTACGACTTTATATATCTTACTCGAATGTGGAGCGGGAGGGGTATCCGTTGACGACGATGCAAATGTTGAGCTGTGTTGGCTTCCCCTCTCCCGAGGTGCCTCGCTCGACGCTCTCGACAACGATGGAAATATGACACTCCACATGGCCTGCAAATCATGGGATGTGAGGCTCATAAACTCTCTGAATGAGAAGATATACAATGTGGATGCCATGAATGGGATGGGGATTATCGCCCTTCATTGCCTTTCTATGTGGGTTAGCGTTGGGAGCGATCAGTGGTAAGTACATCCACGCCTATTTTAGAAGAGGAGGGATTACGATCCCATGGAGCGTGCACAAGAAAGTTATTGATAGGTTGCTCTCACTTGTTGACGTCACTCATCTTGAGGCCATTGGCTCCCTGTCCGACCGGGGCACCGACAAGCAAACTAGCAGGTTTGAATCGATATGCGTCGAATACACGCCCTTGGTTCTGGCCATCGCTTCTCGATAAGGAACATAGCGGGCCATTCATTGGACTTCGGGGCGTGGTTACACATAATAAAGTCGTTGTAACCTTTACTGTTCAGGAGCACGAGAAACGGCCAGGCGGTCACGGTGGAGCTGCTGCTGGAGCACGGGGCAAATCCCAAAACGAGGATGGATCCGCACAATAACAACAGAAGAATACTGGGGGAGGTTTTCGGGAACCCTCCCGTCATGGCACAAGGCGATGGGGCAGCATTCTCACATGACGAGCCCAACACGCAACATCCTGGGTCTGACTTCAAGTCGACGATCCACTATCTGCTTGAAGCGGGGGCGGATCCGAAATTTAAGGGATGCGATGAGTCTGCCATTGAAGCGGGCATTCTCCGTAACATATCTACGGGAATCTTTCTTCAACTTCTCCAAGGAGGTGCAGATCCCTACGACAAAGGCCACTGCGATTACCACGCCTTCGGTCTAGCCTTAGTACAAGGTTTCTCAGACAAGCTTCTCCGTCCACTGGAATTCATAAAGAGTCATGCTTGCCAAGGCCACTGGCTGCAGATACCCACGGATCTCGACTTTTCACGGCCAGAAGCAGGGATTCAGCTTGTGCTAGGCTGTCTCCCGCAAGTTGGCCTGATCAACTTTAAGTACGACAAAGGCGAAACTATGCTGCATGGCGCTGTGAGCAAGGACAACCTAAATCTGGCGGAATCACTGCTCGATCACAGCGACGATGTCACCTTCGAAGACATGTACTACGGCGCGCCACTGCACAAGGCCGTCGGCCGAATCCGTGATCTCCATCAGGCGGAACTGAGGAGGGAGGTGCGGGAAGATTTCCAGCTTGCGAATGTGGCCATGTATAATCCCACGGTAGGCAAATCTAGATTGTCATTCCTCTCGTGAGATCGGTATCCGTAGAATAGGTCCACCAAGGGCGACAGAGGGCCCTCGATCGGGGACCTCGTCAAAATCATACAGCTGCTGGTTGAAATCGGAGCCGGTTTGAATGCTGAGGGTACCATTTCCCAAGACTGCGCAACATGCTGCTGCAAGTCGCACCTATGGAAATCGGCAGCACCGCGCTAGGACTTATGCAGATGCTCCTAGATCTGGGGGCACTTATCACTGCCGTCGCTGGCAATTTCATAGTAGAACACGCTGCTAGGTCTTCTAGGCACGAGGAGCTTTGGGAGCGGCTGAGGAAAAGTTTAAGCGCTGGTGTTGAGATGAAGGTGTAGTCTATGATAAAGCACATGTCTGTAGTGACTTTAATAGCTATATTTGATAATATAACGTACCTCACGGGTTCGTTAATTACACGGGTTCGTT